TTTTATGTAAAGGTTAAGTGTGCATCAAGAAAACATCCCAACCCAGTGCTGCCCAAGCCCACAAGTCCAACATTAACCCATTAACCCATATGTCCAACACCAATCCACAAAGTCCTCCTCCATCTCACAAAACAGATGCAATGATGCCGACTACAGGAGGAAAGCCGAGTCAGTGGATGTGTAAGCATCTCAGCGCTGGCAGGGGTCTCCACACGGCTGCTCCAGCACCCAGGGCTGCACTGGGCTAGGTCCATGTGGCTTCTCCTTGAGGATGTCTTGCAGGAAGTGAACCTTGTCAGCTGAAGCAGGGAACTGCTAAGGCAGCTGCACCCTGGTCCGACCATCACAAAGCAAGAGACCCGAGAACTAGAAAGGCAAGGCTCATCGAGTCATTTATCCCTCCGCCCTTCAATTGACCCCACATGTGTTTATCTGCCAAGTTGGCACAATAAACTAACTATCTCACCAGTTTTTTCACCTACGATGTTTGAAGAAATAGTTAAAACTCACGTATGACTTGGGGGTGAGTCTTCCTGCTATGGGAAGACACTATGCCTTGTGGGATGTCTAGAAGGATTCTTGGTGGTGCAGTGGATTAAGCATTGGCCTGATAACTGAAAGGTTGGTAGCTTGAACCCACTAATGATGTCAAGGGAGAAAGATGATGCTGTCTGCTGCCACAAAGAGGTACAATCTTGGAAACCCTAAGGATCTGTTCTAGTCTGTCCTATAGGGTCCCATGAGTTGGAACTAAACGGATGGCAGTGCTTTTAATTTTGTTTTTAATAGTTTGGCCCTTTGCTCCTAATATGAGTCTGGTCCTTATCTTCAATGTGAAAACTAAATATCTTCCCCTCCCCGTTTCCCGCACAATTCACTCAAACAAAGAATCATTTACACACGACCTCATTCCATTTCCTCTTTGATTTGCATGATTGGAATGGTCCCTTGTTCAGTCTCCATGAAATGGGAAGAATCATCTTTCTGCAATACCTGGTACTGTCTCCACAAACATGGAAGATAGCGTAAGATGTGTGTTATTCTTTATATGCCTATATATTTTAAAACAACCATCTCGACATTTCAGTGGGTAATAACACCAGTGTTTATTTCTGTCATTGACCAGACTGTGGGGTTAGCAGGAATTCTGTTGCTGGAGACCTTATTTTGAACATGAGCAGCTTGTGATATAAATGCTTAGTGTGAGAGTCTACTTAGGATAGCTGAAGCTGGACATTAACTTCAAGGGAGATTGAAAATGTGTTTTTGATAATTTTATCTGACTTAGTAGGAAGTTGACTCCGCCTCCAGGAGTCATAAAGTGAATGTGTCTGTCGTTTTGGGCTAGGTGATGCTATACACCAACTATACCCCCAAATCTCGCTCCCTTAAAACAACAAATACTCTCTCCTTTTTCTATATCCATTGTAGATTAGCAGTCAGTTCTGGGCTCAATATAATCAGTCTAGAACCCACCCTTATGGACCTGTCTTCCCCTCTCATGCAGTTTTTCTCCGTGCCTAAGACAGTAAGCTGGATGAACTGGCTTTTAAAATGATCAGCTGTCTGCGGCACTGTATACATCTAATTTAGTTTTATTAGTCTAACTCTAAACCAATCCCAAGGCCACAGATAATTTGGGTGAGAGTGGAAAGTACAATCCTACCATGAATCAAGAAAGAAGATTCTGAGACTATTGGGTGTACTGTACTAATGACCCCACTAGGGGAATTCCCCAAACATGGAAAAGGAGTTCTGATACAGGGTAAAAACAACAACAACAAAAACAACGAATGTCTTTTGTATGGGACGTTGCTTTTTGAAGACTTGAGAGGCATGGGGACACAGCAGGGAGAGAGTCAAAAAGACACCTTATCTCGACATGGCTTTGAATGGGTTCATTTGCTGGTTTTCCTCCCTAAAGCCCACAGCACAAGCCATCTTCGATGCTGAGCTGGAGGGATGGAGTCCGAGTTGAACAGTTTTGCTATCACTGCCTGCTGCTTGCACTACCTTGTGATTTTGTAATATGACTTATCTGCCTTTTGTATTGTAAGGACCTCCTAGAAGATGGAGGGCAGTGTGGTTGTGACAGCAATAAAGTACTTACTCAATAGATGCCTTTCTCACAGCAACCATTTGCTCTCTTATTAAGTTATTAGGGTGGTTTATTTAAGAAAGCATGTCAAGCACCTACAAAAGTTTGTCCAGGGGACGGGAGTTTTAGAAATCTGGCATTCAGCAGTATTATTCCATAGATTTAGTTGGTCCTCACTTGTCAAAGGTCAAACACTCTACAGGTACCAATAGGATACCAGAGTCCCTCCCGCTTGCCTTTAACTAACTGCCGCAAAGCCCCGCCTCCCGAGGAAGACCCTCCAATCGGCTGCTCTGCTCGGGCCCAACCCTCCCGGGTCACGTGACGGGGCCCGACCCGC